TTTGCCGCCGTGTTTTTAACTCTGCCCTGTCTTCTCCCCTGCTCCCGTCTCCCCGTGCAGCGAGAAGGCCTTGCAATCCAACCACTTTGAACTAAGCATCAAAACAGAAGCCACTCAGGGGCTGATCCTGTGGAGTGGGAAGGGGCTGGAGCGATCAGACTACATTGCCCTCGCCATAGTGGATGGCTTCGTACAAATGACCTACGACCTCGGCTCCAAGCCAGTTGTCCTACGATCCACCGTCCCAGTCAACACCAACCGGTGGATCCATATCAAAGCATACAGGTGTGAAAGGCTAGCGGGAGGGGGAGAGCAGGACCGTGGCGGAATGCTCGGGGATGGGCAAGCTGTGAACTAGGGAGCCTGAGTCATGGCCGTGGCTCCCTGCCTTGTGATCCCCACGGATCACTCGTTTTCTTGGATAATAATAGAGGAGAGGCATGTGGGCAGCGCCGCGTTGGAGGGGGTGCGTGTCACGGCACGCCTGGAAATGTCAAAGGGGCAGGCGCAAGGAGGTACGGAAGGTTCGTGCCTTTTATTTTAGCTGGCCGAGGGTTTGACATTCTGTTCGTGTTGAGCCCGAGCCGTCCCCTTTTATTTTTATTGGTGGTGGGAGTGGTGAGCGGATCACGCGGCTGGCATGCCGGGGATTTCTGCGGATGGGTCTGGAGGAAGCTCGGGCCGCTGGCAGGGCTGCGGGATGCCCAGGGGATGCTGGGGGGCAGCACTCGTGGCCAACTGTTTGGCATTGCACTGAGGACCACTCTGTCTGAGTGAGAGCTCTGCTCCCCGGGTGGAGAAGGGCTGATGGTGCCCAGCGACTGGATTTAGCACAAAGCAGGAGGCAGCTCTGGGGGTTTTTTCCCCTCTAAAGTTGCTAATCGTCTTCTGTTTCTTCTTCCCTCCCTCCCGGGAGCAGGGTACAGAGAGAAGGTTCCCTTCAAGTCGGCAACGAAGCCCCCATTGCTGGCTCTTCTCCGCTCGGTGCGACACAGCTAGATACAGATGGGGCCCTGTGGCTGGGTAAGTCGGTGTGGAACGGGTGAACCTCCTCTGCGCCCCTTGCTGAGGGGCCCGGAGCTGGAAGCTTGATGCCCCCTCTCTTGTTTCAGTGCAACACCTTTGCCTCCCAGGTGGCTTTGACAAGTTTGACCTAAAAAAAGTCCCCTGTTTGTTCCCTGCCTGCTAGGGCAGGATGCCGGTGACAGCCGAGGGACGAAAGGTTGGCTTTACCAAACGCCAGTCCTCTCCGTGCCACCGTGTCCCCCTGAAGAGAGCCGTTAGCTGGGCCGCAGCTCTGGATCCATGCCCGTGGCATGGAGCACTCTCTCCTCCTTCAAACGGGGAGCGCTCCTACCTGCCCAGTTCCCTCATGTCCAGGAACCTCCGTTAGTTCACAAGCCTCCCAAATGCTACTTGCTTGGGCAGCTCTGGTTCCCCAAGGTACAGAATTGAGCAAAGGGTGCTTCTGTCTGGAAATCTGTAAATACCCAGATTTTAGCTGTTGCTTTATTTGCCTAACAGGGTAAGCAGACATGCCAGAACGTGCCCTTGAGTGCAGCGGAGTCACTTCCATTTTGTGTTGACATAAATACTTTGATCCTGCAAACAGAGTTTGGCCCGTTGCATCTATGTCACGCTGCCTGTGGCAGATCTGTCGGCACAGACACGGGCTAGGTTTGTCCTGCAACAGCTCAAATAGGCAAGAAATCCACCCCCAAGTGTAGGATAACTGTGCTTAACTACAACCAGTACTAATCTGAGCTGAGAGGACAGCGAAGTCCTCGTTGAGCCTGAAGGGATGAAGGCAGGATGCCCAGCGATAGGGGACACTGCGGGTCCTGGGCTTCGCTCATCTCTTGAGGAGCTTGCATGATCTCAGCTCTCCATCTCCAAGTTAAGGTCTGGGCTCCTCCTCAGGCAGGAGCCGTAGCAGCCCTAGCGTTCAGGATTGCAGGGGGGGGCGCAGAGGCCCCCGAAGTCAACAGACCGACATGTTCACCTGCTGGCCCGCGCAGCAGCGTGCCCTTTATCCTCCCACCCGACCTTCTGCGCTGTCTCTTGCAGGGGGACTGGAGAAGCTGAGCGTGGCTCACAAGCTGCCCAAGGCCTACAGCACGGGCTTTATTGGCTGCATAAGGGACGTGATTGTCGACCGCCAAGAACTGCATCTGGTGGAGGACGCTTTAAACAACCCCACGATATTACACTGCTCAGCCAAATAGACCCCCAGGGACCCTTCCTTCTCCTTCCCTCCCTCCTGCCTATTGCTGTAATTATTTTCTATTTTTGTAAACTTATTGCTTTTTATATTTTGGGGGGGGAGGGGGGAAAGGGAGGGGAGGAAACACCTTTTTCTTTTGGGTTATTTGTTCGGTTGCAGTCTATCCAGGTCAGTCAGACTCTAATCAAACAGCAGCAACAACGAACAAACCTTGAACCAAGTCTCCAAGAAGTGACAGAAGAACTTCCCCATTGCACCTGCATTGTAAATCTTACTCATACTTGAAGCTTCTTCTCGGGTTGTTGTGTTTTTCCCACCCC